GGAAAATAAAATCGGAGTCAGCTTAAATGTATTAAATTTAAAAAGTAAATAGTAATTACTAATAAATAATTTTCCAGCATATTTATAATTGTTGTTCCAATACATATAGTATTTTAATTCTGAACGTTTCCGTGCGGGGAGTGTTGGTCTCCTTCCGGAGACGCCCTTTCCAACATGGGAGACAGTTGAACAGTGTTACGTCCATGTTCGTAAGAGACTTACCACTGATATTTGCCTTCGGACAATAATCTAAGCTGGCTTAATTGAGATGAATTATTATTTAATAACCATGAAATATTGTGCATTCAAACCTACAACCTACAATGCATGATCAATTATAATGTGATTTTGTGAACAGAATAATGAGTGATTTGCATTTACATGAGGTATGAAGATCAGAGCGTGTTATATTTGGGGAGACAATCCAGGGGCGGATTCAACGGATGACTTTGGAGAGGGCCGGCATAGATTTTGTTATATAATAAACATGTGTCATTATGTTGTATATTTTTGTAGTGTATATAAGATAGAAATATACAATATTACTTTTTAAACAATTACATGCTTATAACTTAAATAAATATTTAAATGAATATTGCTGAATAAAAGAAGGTAACAAACGAGTACTCTAATCTTTGGGGGTAGAGGCATGCCCCCCCTGTGGATCAGCCACAGAGACAATCTTCTTCCTCTCTTGGCAATCATTCCGCACCCTCGTGGCCAAATTCAGATGAATGATGGAGGATTCAGATGAACATGAGGGCCGTTGGTGGGAAAAACAATTCATTAGTATAAACTATGATGCATTATTAATAAGTAACGAGTACTAACGAGTGTTAACAATAATTTTCCAAAGGTTGTCCTGTCGAAGTTACGATTACAATATATAATCGAATATTTTGGCTCGTCTATTCCGAAACTTGCTCTCTAAAACACGGTAGTGCCTGAATGCTTCTTGGCTGCACTGCTGGAAGATGTTCTTTGCTTTCTATGTATATTAAGTCTACTACACGTGCCACAATCGACGTGCAACTGTCACCAATGCAAAGCTGTTACACATCGGAATCAGCATGCGCCAGGTTCCCCAACACGAGACCAGGCATCAGAAACAGCGCGACCTACAACGCGTTGCTCCATATGTCAGATGTATTGGCCGTAGCAGCCACCCCACCCCCTTCCTCATCCCCACTCAAGTATGAGCGTCTGGGTGATTGCAGGATGATAAGAATATTAAAAACATTCAATTCTAAGGTCACTTGGCTTCTTTAAAAGGTGAAGTTTCATCGAAACAATGAAATTTAAGAAATTGAAATTGGACCTGCAATGTTAATAGTTCTTATCTGAAATATAAAATTAATTTATCTATAGAAAAGGTTCTGTTTAATATTAGAACGCGGTCGATCGATATGACTTTCGGGCTCTTTCTATTTGGAAATAATGAAGGGGAAACCGCTAAGTAAATAACTCTGTTCTGGATGTGGGGGCTAATAGCACAGCATTAACGAGTTTACAATTAAGTTTTTCTCTTTCGTTTTTTTAAATATTATTAATACTGTTCAAATATAGTGGTTGCAGCCATTTCATCTCAACGCGAGCTTGCCTTTTCTAACTGAGCCAGTTACTTTCCCATTACGAAGCCCTTTCTGCAGCGGCGGATTTACCATTTTCGAAGTGTCAAGCTAAAATACTTTGGAGGCTTCCTTTTTATTGGTAACATCAATATTATTGAAATTAGAGATTTTAAAATATTTTAATCAAAATTAATTACACAATTAAATTATGCCTTCAAATAATTGTATTCAAGTTTTAAATTTAATAATTGGTAACAATAGTGTACAACATAGTAAAAGGTGTCAAAATATCTGCAGTATAACAATACACTGATAATTTATAAAACCAAAATTAATTAGGATAGATGGTTTACGCGATTTTTTTGTTCACAAAATGAGAAATATCGTCGAAAGATAAAAGCTCAAAGCTTATCGTTTTGACTGAACATTATTGTTTGTGAATTGAGTTTGTGTTGTCCCATAATAGCTCGAAACTAGCTTTCAACCCTTTTAAGTCAGAACACTGTGACGGATTTTGTCATGCACTCTTCACGTTCAAAATGTAATAAATGAGAACGAAAATTTCCGTCTTAGAGTCAATCTTTTTTTAACAACAATAGCGTTTTTATCAAATTTATTTCATTATGGGAACTAATTATAAATTGGTGCCAGTATATTTCCATAACAATTTTTACCAAATTTGCAATTTTATTTTATATTTTTGTGAGGCCCCCAAGCTGTAGCTTATTTAGCTTAACGGTAAATCCGCCTCCGTCTTTTTGCTACTCCATTTTATTCCGACCCCGCGTAGTCTTTTCCTCATGCATTGCTCTTGCTTCCCTCTTGTCTCATCGTTATCGTGAACGGCTGCGTGTGGACGTCTCGTGAGTTCGTTGCGTGAGCCAACAATAACGCGCCCTTCAGCGCGCACCTTGACATCGTGAAGGCGAACAGCTGAAAACGGGTTGCCATGCCAACAAAGGTACTTGGCATGTTATGGTAGACACGAGGAGCCGAAATAGCTTCAACGTTCGCGGCACGGCTTTGTATTCGCACGTCACCAGAGGCGAATGACTCCGCTTGACCATTGGCATTCGCGATGTAGTCTCCCTCGGTTGAAATTATCCTTTGGGGTCATTGCAGTAGTCTAGATTTAGTCTTTTTTGTCAGTCTATTACCTATTATTAATGTAGATGACATTTTGTGTACCTACTTGCCCTGCTTGTCTCGTGCGGATTCAGATGACACGTCATCTTTTCATTGCTGCATTGTAGACGTAGCTAACGCGTAAATGAATGTTTATCATGACTTTTAGGTGATAGATAGGCTTTTTGTCATTTTTTGCCATTTTTCAATTTTTAGGCCTTTATTACTTTTGCGTCATTTTTAGCATTTTTATTCAATTTGTTTCTATTTTGTAGTTTTAATGTTTAGTGAATTTACAATGACATACCAAAACGTAGTTTGTATTGTATCATCAGTTCATTACAATTTACTACTGTAGTGGCTTCTGTTTTTCGAACCTTCAAAATTACACTGATATTCTGTAGCTTCCTCGACCGTTCAGAAGTGACTCTTGGAAGTTTGGAGCTAAGGATTATATATCTTAAGATTTAATTTGTATTTAGAATTGTAAAGTTTATTGAACAAGTACTTTTTGTACAAATATTTGAGTACTTTTAAGAAAATTAGTAATTTTCCCCTTATTTTGTGGTCATTAGAATCCGAGCCCGAGTTTTTAGTCACAAGTTGAAGTCCCTTGCATCCTTGTTGGGCGAGAGAACATTTTCACGTAGCGCACGCTCCCTTCCAACACTCCCTTAATGTAAAAATAGGTTAAGTTTAGATTCAAAAATTGTTGTTCTAAGTAAATTTCTAAACTCAAATGCATCTCCATGTGTTTCGCTGCGTTATACATGGTACAGCCTGATATTACGCATGACCCCATTCCCCCACCACCGATTCAGAGCAGCCGCGCAAACTGCTGAGATCTACAACACGGGGATGTCGGGTGTGGATTGTTTGAGCGATGAAAATATGGCCTGTAACCGTATTAAAGGTTTTAGTTGTGGCCCTCGAGAACTTACTAGTTTGGCACCCCTGGTCTAGACTCTCCGGGACGGGCTGATCTCTGCCGTTGTGGCCTTCCTCAGAACTGCGTGGCAGTACGCTCAGCTGTATGCTCTGAGAAAGGCCACATGATGTTGGCCGAAATGGCAGCCACCACGGCCGGATAGCATAGACAATGCACGAACTCTTGACAGTAGTTGTGCATTTAACAATACTTCATCAGTTGTGGTAAACCGAAAAAACATTCGAAATTTATTTCTGGGGGTGGATGCCGGTATTATTACGTTTATCATCTTCAAACAAGTACAATAATCCACAATACTGACAGTGTGAAGGCCACTTAGTAACCAAATAGGATCATATTGATTTCGTTGGCTGCACCGAAACGTGTGTATTACTTCCTTTCCAACTGACTCGTGGCTTCCAAGCTACCAACCAATCGATTAAAAATTATCGATATTCAAAATAATATACGAGTAGTAATGAATTGATTTTTCTTCGGTTGGTGTTTCGAAAATTCAAAGTATTTTCAACACAAATTATTTGACTTACCAAATACAAATGACTTACACATTGGTCGAACGTTGCAAGATGAAACATGTCTGTTATTTAAAGAGGGGGAAACTGACGAAGATCTGCGAGTTAGACTGAGCAGACCCTACGAAGAGTTGAAATGCCAGGGAAAGAAAAGGGAGTTTGTACACGCCATAGCGGACAACACTATCGATCTTCGGCCAAAACGCAGAAGATCGATAGTGTTTTAACCTTCGAGGGTGCACTAACTCGCTAAAATACATATATAATATACGTCCATCTGTTAGACGAATCCGGAACTTGCGAATATGCCGTGTGGTTGCTCGTTTGGGGGCGGGCAGCGTTTCCCCGCAGGCCTCGTCCGCGGCCTCTGCCCGCCCACCTCACCCGCTCTGCCCCGGGGCTTGTACGTTCAAAGGCCGCTCCGCGCCGCACTAAACATAGCGCCAAGGGCATGCGGGCGATGGGCCGGCCGCTGCTGCGCTCGGCGCACACCTTGCCCTCACAGGCCTCGTGACAATGCTCGCGGGGTTGTCCATTGTCACGTCCAAGGGGGCGGAGTCCGAGGGATGTTGCGATACTTTTGATGAGAAACAAGTCGGTCAGTATCGTGTTTTCGATTCGAAAACTGCTGTATTGATATCGGAAAAAAATCGCTGTGAAATATACTGATTGTTACAACAATTTAAACTTAATAAATGAAATGTTTAGTAAATGTGAAATAAATCTTAAGGGTAAAAACTGTAATGAAATTGTGAATAAAAGTTATGTAAATGGTATTGATGTTTTTAATCGTTATGAAGTCGTCTACCGCCCTGTGATTAAAACGTGTATCACTACCACTCGATGCGTAGTACCTATGAGGACCTGGCAATCAATGAAAGTGAGACGTACAACAATATGCGACACACCAATGCAACCCGCAGTGTATTTAGGCGTGTAGGAATTGCGGAGCAGAGACGGAGAAGGAGCTGGTCCGGGCAGTGAGTCGCGCGAGTCAAGGGGGACGGGGACGTAGAAGCGGCAGAGTGAGTGGGGAGTAAGGGGCGAGGGGGCGGCGCGGGTCTGCGCGCAGAGGGCAGCACTGAATGCTGAAGGTAGCGGAGGGGCCGGTGATGTGAATGGAATTACTTATTTTTACTCAGTAGATGGAATTAATTATTTGGGCTACTAGGTGATTGATTACACAGGGAACGCCGGGTTTCTTCACCTTGTTAATAATTCTCAAGGAAATTTTCGACTATTGTCTAGTCTCATGAAATTTACAGCCAATAGCCCCGAACGGTCCCTTTGGTTGACGGCCGTGATCGGTGTCACCTCGAGTAGATTTCTGGTCTTGGCAGGTATCCTTCGAATTCGATAATAACAGTATTTGGGGAACGGGTTCCGCACTGCCAGCACGGTTCAGGAGTTATATTTCTGTGAAGCGAGCTTTTCATTTACTTTGGAAAAAGAAGGCTGTTTGATGTTGGCACGTGTTCTTAACGCCAGGATAGCGTGCGAGAAGAGTCTAATCAGTGTGCTTGTAAAGAAAATAACGGTATTTCTGATGTTATTCTTTGATATCCCTATGCCACTTCGTTGACTAATGTCTACTGGTGTTGGAAGATACCCTGGTGTGTTAAAAGTGATAGTGGGAGAGACTAGAAGTACCACAGTTACTATTTTGTCGTCGACGATATGATCCGAAATTACAGATTGTAACGTCCATTAGCCAGCACCCTGTATTCAACGCATCCCCTCGAAGTTTCTTTGCTTTCAGAGTATTGATTTTCAGGCGACTGTTATATTCTGCGAAATTAGTATGGCTAGTATGAAGCAGTAAGTCTTTTGATGCTAATATTACTATTATCCAGAGGCAAAATATTTCAGTTCAGATTCTAAAACGAAAACAAATGACAATTTTGAAACTTAATACTTTGCCACACAATATAATCAGACGTAAGTTTCGGTTTATATCTCCCTCAAGTGTTCATGCTTATAGGCTAATGGAAAACTAGAACTAACACACAGAATGCGGAAACTTCATCCACATGCTTATTTTTCAAAATTACTCACTTACGTGTCTTTTATAGATCTGAAATGATCAATGAGACTGAAAACTGGATCGGTAAGTTCGGACGGCTAATAATAAGCGATAAAACATATGGAGCCTTCTACCTTTCATTTAAAGCAAAATCACGAAATTTGGTTGAGTAGGTAGCACGAACTTGTTTCTAAAAAAAGTTCTAAAAGTAAATATTTTTGCAATTTTCTAAATGTAAGATTTTTAATAAAAATCGGAAATATACCATACTTATAAATATACATTCTATTGAGAGAAAAAAAAGGAAATCAAGGAAATCGGAATTCAAGATTTTCCGAAGTGAAGTTAAATTTCTTAATTACCCTTGTATGTTTTTATTTCTCAGCGATCTGATAAAGTGGGCATGGCTCGGTAACTGACAAAGTGACCCTCGAGAGCACTTGCTGAGATGCCAGATGGCCTGCCCCGGCCTCGTTTTCCCTATTTTGGCGTCGTGATTCGCCGCAACCTTGATTGGTCGACTGACACAACCTTCGCCCACGTTTCTGCCTTCCGCACAAGTGTTGCATTAACAAACCTCAGTAAGACAATAACGTACGTTAAACATTTTCATAAATGCGATTTATGATTTTTTTAAAATAAATTTACTTTTCATCCTAAACTTTTATAGATGAGTCTTGAGGTGTAATGAATTGTATTTTTACTCCCATTGCACCGATGGTATGAATGCGATATACTTCGGAATACTTCGTCGTATAATTGTATCTCGAATATAAGCGCATACTTACGTATCTTTCTACGCCTGACTTATCCCTGAAATAGGGAATTAATTTTGATTGTGGAATTAGAATTATCATATTTGAACGTACTGACTGTTAATTTTGACTAGATGCACCGTAAATCAAATTAATAGTTATCATTTTTTCTATGTCGGTTCTTCATTGTATATAGGTAAGCATGTGCCACTGTTGGTAGAAGTTGGATACTTAGGGGTCGTCCATGAATTATATAATGCTAAAAAGGGGGGAGGAGGAGGTTTGAGGTAGCGTTAGGCTGCCTTACATTAGGGGAAGGGGGTATTGTATTAGTGTTACGTAACATCGATTTTTTAAACCTTTTTTATCATTTGTTGAAGCACTTCCTTTTTGAGTCTTATTCTAAACCATTAAAATATTATCTAATGAAATTGATTTCAAACGTAAATAATTTAAAGTTATTAGAAGTTGTTACAATAAATGGAAATACTTCATCAATTTTGTATTGAATATGTAAGATAACGAAGAAAATATTCAAAACTGATCTGTAGAATTTCGTAGAACACAATTAAATTGGATCAGTAGACCCTCGCCCAGGCGACATCGACAACGACAGCGTGTAAACGGCTTGTGATCAACCTTTTTATCGTCTGGGCGACCTTCCTTCTCTCAAAATTTGCCCCTAATCTTATTGTTAGGTGCAGTCAGTTTCGACAACTAATTCCGTCTTTAATTATCATCAATTTTAATACACAACACAAATATAGTTAATACAATTTTTTACTGAGCTTTAATTTATTTTCCCATCTTGTATTTGAAGGGGAGGGTATTGTCACAAGCGTTACAATGGGGTGGTTCAATCGTGCGTTACAGGAGCGAGAGGAGGTATTCAATTTTGCGTTATGTAATTTATGGACGGACCCTTAAGAAATATCCTGAATTGTACACATCTGGAGCTGTAGTTATGTTTTACCATTTTTGACCGGATTTTTGTTATCTGTATTTTTAAAGGTTAATATTACTTTCCACAAGTTCCTTGTCATAAGATCACTTCTAATATTTCCTAAAGCCTTAGTAAGTTTTAAATGGTTTATCGTCAATAAAGAAGGTGTAGGTAAAGCGAAATGCAAAGAGAACTAGAACATTGCCGCGATTTTCGCTTCTCTTCCCTCTTCGGGAGGTATTTTCATCATACGAGTTTGAAGAAGAGCCTGTCATCTGAACCGTTTAGATTGTCGTGAAGAAGGGGAACGTGCCTTAGGGGCTTGGAAGCGCATTTCCTCTGCCCACGCAGTGGCGACGGAGAGTGTGCGGGTGAAGCGTGGTGGCGAGAGAGCCCAGGGACGCAGGAGCCCTCAAGTCCTCCTCGTGGAGGCGCAAGAGGCGCGGCGAGGAGCTTCCCCCGGAGCTCAATCGCTCCCCGCGGAGTCACGACCTCGCCGTATCGCCGTCCTCATGGCCACAGGCGCCGTTCTTCGTCGTATCAGATTTAGTATGTCGACGTTACAAATCGAGGCGTTGGGGCCTCAGTCGGTACATGATACTTGGACGCAATGGAGAGTGGCTTTTACTCGGATTCGCCCTGTATCGGGGCTTCTTAAGCGAGAAATAATGTGCTACGGAATTCATGAATCGTTATGAGATTACAAAGCTTACAGTATTGGGCAAAGTGAACAATTCTATATATTCTTCTTCATTATTATTATTATTATTATTATTATTATTATTATTATTATTATTATTATTATTATTATTATTATTATTATATCATTTACCCCTCTATTTATATTGTTGTTTTTCTCAATGCCCCTGGTAATATTAATGCGGAATCATGATTGTGAGGGTCGTAGCAACAGAAAGCGTGTTACTGTATGGATGACGAGCGGGTTGCGTTAAGCAGGGTGACATCTATTTTTTTCCCTACGCAAGGTGAAATATCTTATAGCATTATTTACACCTCAATGGCTCACTTGTGATGCTGCGCTCTCCAGATACCCGAAACCTTGGATGATTAACCATAAACTAACCCTGTAATTTTCCGATTTGTCCTTAGACAAAAAGATCGTTAAGATATTAATTATTATATTATTTTTAGTAATGTTTTCATTTGGTATTTTGTTTTAGGCTGATTCACGATACTGCATTTTCTTAGCCAACTAATTTGGTACAAGGGTAACATCAACACAAATAAGTTTTGAACTCTGACATTCTTATACTTTTTTTTCAATTTCAACTGTTGAGATGATTTTGAAATTAAACATTTTGTTTTCCATTTTTAGTCATAACTTGAATTATTTCTTCTGGAAAAAAGACCATATGTTAAAAAAAGTCCCAAGAGTACAGGTGGACACAATTTAACTTTAATATATTCATGTTTCAAAGTCGAATATTATCGATTATTTTTAATTTTGTAGGTACAAAATGAAAACACTTCAGAAGCGAGAATTTTTAATAAATATGCGTGATCAAAAATAAATTTAAAGCTTTCCTTTCCTGTACGAAGTAAAGAAGTTACAGTAGAATGTGCTGCTCCAGTTAAGTTTTATACTCGAGCTCATGTCTCAGTGTATCTTCCCCCGACTGATATACGAAATGGTCTTCCGCTGATAACCCGTGATAAACATTTCTCTGTACAGCGTTCGTATCGGAATGTGGTTTTGTTTTGAAGTTACCAAAGCAGATAAGGAGCAGTTGTCTGTGCCTATTATCAATTGAATATTTGTTGATGGACAACATAACCTACAATTCATCGTTATAAATAAATCAACTTATTTATGTAAACTATTTGATAATAATTAATTTAATTATAGTAATTCAATACTCACAAATGTCTTTGTAGGATAGAGACATTGTGTGGACAAAAAATGAACAATCGCTGGAAAATACAACGTTAGAAAAAGTTACTCCAAACTGGGAGCTGCGGTGCAGCTTATATGACAGTCATATGCTTGCATTCACCGCTGCCTAATCTCCAATACAAAATGTTTTTAATAAAACAAATAACGATCCAATATGCTCCAGAATGTCTACAAACCATTCACCATAATCGAATATTTTAGGACATGACTTGATTTTTATATTTTTGTCCCAGTGTGCACCGTGTTGACTGGAACCTGTCGGTCAGAGGCACTAGAGTGACTTCAGTTGAAGCCCGATGCCACATCAACTGTTGATACTGAGAATGGAGTAATGCGAGGTGGATCCTCACCGAAGTTCAATTTGTTTTAACATGCTTTCAGTCATTTTCAATATTTGGCGCATTTTGCAACTCTGTTGGACGTAATTGCATTCGTGGAATAGTCCTATTCAGTACCACTCGTGCTTTGGAAATTCTTCAATGAACCCTCCGTCGCTGCGCGAATCGGGAATTTATCGACATTTTCCAAAGCACTCGTTGTAGTACCTATGGTAATTGCACTTCTCATTAGTTCTTGATCCGTTTATGCCGCCAACGCGGACTGCAGCAAATAGCTGCTTTCGTTCGCCGCTCGCCCTTGGTGCTTTCCTGCCCCCGCCTCCTCATCCCTCCACGTGGGCAGTTCGATGGCCTGTATCGATCGAGGCGTCACGCCGCTAGAGACGGATCGACTGCTCGGGCGTTTCTTGCGGCCGACCGGTGCCTTCCCGACGACGTCGGCGACGAGGGTGACGGTCGCGACGGCGCGGCGCCTGTCTTGCCCCCCTCCCCTCCACCCTCGGTTAGCGGTTTCTCTGCGCCCCCCGTCGCGCCGCGCCGCCTGCCCACTTCCTGGGGAAGTCCGGCCCTCCGCTTGGTTTCCGCTCCACTCGCGCGACGACGCTCTCGGCCGATTTCCCCAGAGGCCGCTGTCCACACGCGCCTTGCCTGCGCCCGCCGCGGGCGGATATGGGGACATTGTTGCATTTGAGGATGACTTGTTCGGGCTGCGATGTAGTGTTGTAGATAAACTGAAAAGTTGCAGAAACTGTAGATTGGGGAAACTAAGTTGATAATTACACATCAGTGTTATTAAATCTGTTTGTTTAAGGAAATAATAGTTTTACGCATTTGACGAGTAACGAGACGGCGTTTGTAAATTATTACGCAAATAATTTATATTTACGCCCCTATTACATTTTTTACCTTGTCCTTGTGCGAAACCTGTTAAGGAACTTTTGTAATTAGAAAAATGTGTGAAAAGGAGGTAACTGTGCATTTATTGACCTTTGGATTTGTAGTATAAATACACTGGTAAGTTATGAAAAGTGGTTCCTGGAGAAATGGCCAATATAACGATGTCATCAGAAAGAACAACAGAAGAAAAATTACTCGAACATCACCTCCTCCTCCCCTTAAAAAACCAACAAGAATTTGTTACATATTGTTTCGTTCTTAGTCTCTTAGTCTAATCAAACTAGGGATGTTAATAAGTTCTGGAACAATACAATTTATATTCACTGCCAACACAGTCTCTGTTGTGTGTTAGCCAGTATTATAATGGACTATAACTGGAAACCCTTCTATCCGCTTTCATTTATCAGTGTCATGTATCACAAACAATTATAATCATTGAAATGTCGTTGTAAAGGGACATATGTTTCAAACTATAGCTAATTTTTGCGTTAAAATCTCTATTGTCTCTTCACCAACTCTAGACAGACACATACACCACAAACACACCCGGATTAATGATGGTCAACTGCTTGATAGGTCGATTATAAATCTTAACCAAGCGACGAAATGAACAAATGGCATTAATTTTATTATTTGTAAGAAATTATTAAAAGATACCTAATGTTTTACTATAAAATCGGCAAGCATATCACAACTCAGAACACCTACCGTTCATTTACAGCAAAAATCGCGAAATTTGGTTGAATAGAAAGCTCGAACATTTTTCTGAACGAATATTCTTAGGGTTAAAAATATAAAGTGTAAAGATATTTATCATAATATAAAATCCACTATTGTTTTCAATTTTCTCGAAATTCGCAATATAGAGGGATATAAGGTCGCGTTTCTGCCATTTATTAGTAATGTAGCCCGCTGGCATCTAGCCTCTTCAAGAATAGAACATTTTTTAAATTCGTTTTTCACTTTTTTACATGTTTGTATTAACTCTAATAATGTAATACATAGGCACTAAATCTTGGATATTTCAATAAAAAATGAGTTGTACAGAAGAAGAAACTATTCTGGAAATAGTTTCAAACACTTATCATGTCTTGAAAACTAGAGTATTTCGATTTGAAGCCTTTAACTTTCACGTGCTCGGAAGTAGTACCCTTAATAGTGCCGAGTTGCTTCTAAGAAGAAAAGAATAACTCGTGGTAATTTTTCGTTATTATTTGGGAAGTGTCAAATGGTGCAGAACATGATTATAGGGAGATTTATGATATCCTTTCAATTAATATGCAAATTTCGATTATTTCTTTCCTTAGAAAGATAATTCAACGGAATTTCAAGTACGAAGGAGTGAAGTGGGAAATCTAATATGTCGTGTTATAGAAGTTCGATTTCTTGAACAGCGTGTTCGAAGGGAATATGGAGAGGAATGGAAGACATTCGAGAAATCGAAAGAATTCGAGTTATTGAGGACAGAGTTTTCCAGGTACTTGAACACAGCAAGTTTGCAACGCTGCAATGCGTGGGCTGCCCGGGCGGCGTGCCCTTGGGGTGCGTGGCTAAGCGAGTTGTGTGCGCACCCCGTGCGTGACCTGTGCATGGAAATGAAGCGCTTCTGCTCCGATGTCACGAGCCCCGCTATGCGATCTGGTAGCGTTGCCATCCATTCATCCACCCTCGGCCTTTGTTTACTAATACTATTGTCTTCAATAGTTGTCGTCGTTTTCTTATTCAATTTGATGCGTGTAATATTATATTTGTCTTCAGTTGTATGACGAAATTGATGTTGGATGGAAATGTTTTAACATTGATAGAATGCCTGAGCGATCCCCATTTCTTTTTGCATGTTTTGTTTGAATACGAACATTTCCGCTACCCTTTGTGTACTGTATGAAAAATAAATTTGATTTCTCAAAATTATTTTAATGATATATATTATGTTTTTTTATACAAAAGTCTGTCTTGTTCGTTTAAAAGCGAAAGAAGACGAAACATATTTTTAAGAATTTTAATATTTTACGACTACGTACTGTACAAAATATCTACAATCAAATGTTTTATTTTTATTTCCAGGCACACATGAAGTTCCCACCAGACTACCCTTACTCGCCCCCGAGCATTAGGTTCCTAACGAAGGTGTGGCATCCCAACGTGTACGAGGTAAGTTGAATGCGCTTTATCTGCAGAGGTCGTGTGGTGTGTGTGAAGGTAACGGTACATTTGGATTTCTTTTCTGGCTTCTTTAAGGAAAAGTAAGGTTCCCTCTGATATTATAAATCTGTAGCAAACGGGTTTCGAAATAGGCGTATAAAATCGAAGGATTGTTAGAACTTAAGAGCTTAAAATGAAGACGCATATTAGCCAGTAAGTATACTAAAAATTATGCAATCATAAATACTGCGTGTTTTTTTCCTTTCAATTTGTGAACAAATTAATTGGTTTACTAGTTCGTACAGCTAATGCAGACAATTGTATTAATACATTTTTCTGATTTATTTTTGCTGCGAATTTTGCTACTTAAAAATATTTAGATTTTTAGAACATTCGACAAAAATATATATTTTGGCAGGATACCATTGAAATTCAAAAGACACGCGTTTTTTACACAACGTATTTATTTGTATTGATTTTCTGTGATTGAAGTGCAGTTTCGTTCTATCATTACTTACGTATTTACTTGGTAGAATTGAGAATCGGCCAGTATCTTTCAATAAATTGCAGTTAATAAGCGTAGTTTTAACGTTATTTGCTGTGTTATTTGCTCCCAAGTGACAGCAGCATACGAACAACAATCATCGTGTTCCTTTATGTTCTTCGTACGTATACTTCTTTGGGACCACGCCCTCGCCTCGTACAATGAGGTTAGAGGGAAACGGAAGTAGGTATTGCAATAAGCTCCCTGTCCATAGTCGGCCATCCTATTAGCCAGTGTTTCCTTTCGAAGCGACGGTGTCATATGACAGTGCTGAAATCTTCCGTTTCGCCAGCGGACGCGGTAAGAAGACTGCAGTTAGAGGAATGGCCAAGCCGCAAATTTGTTCATAGGATAATCCAGCATATAGAGAGCCGTTATTTCTTACTTTCGTTACCTACCCAGAAAAAGAAAGTAATGTTCAAAACTGCCCCACGTGTGTTCAATATCGATTTACATTCTGGGCAAACATCGATTCGTCTTCTGCTTGTTACAATTCATCTAAAAATTGTTAAGCATTTTGATTAAAAGGTAAGCTTTTGTCACATTTCATTACGTGATTCAGGAGATAGTTTTTCGTCTGGGAAATAGCATCAAATCCTAGAATAAAAGATGCATGCTTGCCAAGCATTTTGGTTACGTGCATTCTCTACGCCTCTTCCAAATACATGTACACGTAGGCTTCCGCGGCTCGAGTTCATGTCTTGTTGGCTGTCCGGGTGACGCCGCGTCGTTGGCTGAGAGGCCGACGTTTCGCCTGTCACGTCGCAGGCTTCTTCCTCACTACCTTGCAAGACGCCTGCGATATGACAGGCGAAACGTCGACATCTCAGCCAACGACGCGGCGTAACCCGGACAGCCAAGAAGTCATATTCCAAATACATGGCTGAGGGGAAGAAGTGAAAGCTACACGTTTAACAGTCCTCTCGATTGCCAGCAAACGTTATGAAACTTTTTCTAGGCCTGCATTCAGTCAACAGTTGTATTTTGTTTTTTTTTACTTGCGTGTTGCGTGGATGGTGGAGGTATTCGGGCCATGTACTGTTTCACTGCCGTTGTCCGGTGAGTCGTGGGTTCCTATCCCTGCCTGCAAATGCTTGATCGTCCTCGTCTATAGCGTTTCGAAGGGTCCCGTGATGGAGGAGCACCATAACCTATTAACCTGCGTAAATAGCTATCACAGGATTGATGTTGGAAATAATATTATAATCAATACTATTTGGAATTTGTTGTTCATGTTGATCCTACGTTAATGATGCTAATAGTCTTGACGTTAAATGCAGGTCTGGACCATATTGGATCAATCTAGAAGAAGATGTCAGGAAATGTGAATATTGTTGTATGTATTATATATATAGTCTTGCATTGCCCGCCACAGCCGGCATATGGGATTCTCTAGCCCCCTAGTTGACTCCATTTTCTGCGTTTGGAAAGATTTTTATCATGTAAATATGCAAGTAAATGTTGGAAACACCAATTTTTCATGAAAGTTGTTTTGGTGTTTTTTGTATTTTTGTTTGTTTTATCATGTTGGACTGTAGTTGTTTAATGCAATTGCTAACCTTTTTGTTGTATACCTGTAATGCTCTTGAATGCATAATGTACGAAACGTTGAGAGGTAAATGTACAAGATTCACATTTTCTGTTATCTACTTGTGGACTGATCATGTCTTGTCCAGACCTGCATCAAATGTCCCATCTATTAACATTATTATTACTATTATTATTGAATATAAATATATTACTAAAAAATTAATAAATACTGAATACCAAAATTATTCATTAAGAAGGTGAAAAGAACATTGATGCTAAAAGTACAGGAGGTAAACTATTCTAAGTAATGCGTGTATGGTAAGGAACAGCTACAATTTTAATAAAATAGTAAATACAAGATCTAGTAATGGAAGCATGTAATAAAGGAAGGTGTATAGGTATGTGAATAAGATTTATTATGTATATATGAATGTGAATTAAGATAATCTGGAATATAGATATCTGATAAGAACTATGTAGTATATTGAAAAGTTAATGCGCAAATCCCAACTTTAACCGCGAGGCAATTGTTTGAAATACCCTTGAAGTTGGAATACTAAAATCATAAACCTACTGTATGCCTCTTCATTTTCCTACCTAGTTAGGTGGGTAACTGCCGCATGTGCTGTTTCGATCCGTTTGCAGTCTTTCGTTGTCCTGTGCAACCTCCGTGCCTTTTCGCCGAGGCCTTCGGCGCGGCGCGGCGCCGCGTCGGGGCGCGCGGAGTGACGTGTGCGCTGCGGCGGGGGCTCGCCATGACGGCCGTTCGATGACGCGCTCTCGTGGCCCCGTGCGTCACGCCCGCGCCTGCGCCTGCGCGCCACGCCCCCCTGCCGCGGCGAATGGGCTCGCGCGCGTTAGAAGTGCACATTTCGTGACACTGTGCTCGTGGACATGCAAACATTAGGTAGCTGTAGGCCACGTGAATGGTACACCAGACGTCATGTCGTGGATAGTTGCGGGCGAAAGAAAAAAAAAAGTATTTCAAACGTCTTCCTTTTTGGAAGAGAAGTAAAGCCAGTTGACCCAAGTCGAAGGTTCGTGCTAAGTAAAAAATCTAAAGCGCATGCACAATTACACATGCAAGGTCATCCGTAGCTGGATCAAGCTTCCGCGCTGACTACACGAAAAGGAAGTGTCAATGGGACGTCGAGAGAATTGAACCCGCCGTCATTAAGCCGAAAGGTGCTGTCCAAATGTCGCGGCCTCCCGGCAACACTTCAGGTTATACCGGATAACCTCTACAAAGTCATTAAATTTAATGTAGGTTAATGTATTAATGTAAACGTAATGTACGTTGTAATGTATTAAAAGAGTTTAATATATTTGTACATTAAATTTAATGCTTAAATTAAAATCAACGAAGATTTAGTGGAGAGGTTCTCCTGTTTCCCCTTGTCTCTCATTATTCATATCATATATTCCTAATCACCGGTCCATCAAGAGGAGGAGTCTCAAGGGCTAGTAATAACTCCTTTAATATTGTGGCGGCCCATATTTTCATTGCTCGGGCGGCCCGCACCTGACTTCATCATAATGTTGATCTCGGCACTTTGCCCGGCTGCTATGAAACATGGGTGCGATGGAACTATGCGTTCTATCGGGCCGTACAATGGATTACGCAGTGAACCACATTAGAATGTTTTTTGGTTTAATCAATCAAATCTTCAATCTAAACAACCTAAATTTTTGCTAGGCGCACAATGTTCTCGCCCGACACGGATGCAAGGAACTTTCGACCAATAACCTTTCGCGGGCCGCAATAAATGGCCCCGCATGCGACGAGTTGGACAACCCTGATCACGATCATTCATTTAAGGTTCGGCCGTAGAGTTGGACTCTGCATCTTTGGGTACACGTGTGCATTAAATGTGCGTTTATGATTTAATTAACATTTACATTGAAGTATTGCAGACATTTCTGATAGTAGCTATTGTCCAGTGTCGGTCGCGGAAGTTATGAAAGCTTGCCTTACGTTAATAGGATTTTATAAAGAAAGCTTTCCTTGGCATAGAAAGAGAATGAGTTTTATTTTGTTGTTTTTGGACCACCTGTTAAGACCGATGCCTTAAATTCTGCTTTTAGTAACCGTAGGCTGTATTTCAGTAGTATTTCAGTAACCGCAGCATGTCATTTACAATGCAACACGTGAACCTGGCTTTTGAGCCGTCGAATGTGCGTCCTTACGTCTCTTGATGTATCCTTTGAAATCATAACATGTTAGAAACGTGGAATTGATAGTGCGTGAAGTAAAATTTGACAGTTGTCAGATTATATTAAATTGACATCTGCAGTACATTAGCAGCGTCAAGCAAGGCACAGTGTTGGTTACTGCTCTCACACATTATAATAGGCCCTGGAAGGAACATGCGAGCGCAGTTGGCCTTCATTACGGGGTTTAACCAAGCAATGCGGGCTTTGAAGTCGGCCTCGCTAATTAATGGATTTTTAACGCTGTAATAATCCCGCACCTTGTACGGATTATTAGGAGAGCCTTTGTCCCGAAGAAGAACCACATTCTGCTCAGGCCGAAATTAATGTTTTTGTTGTTTATTTGTATTTTTGTTTACGAAAAGAACTTCAGTGGAAAAATCACACCTCAGAATCATTTACGATCATAAATGACTTGCGATAATAGATGTAGTGCAGCACCGCCTAAATGTTTAAGGAAGGAATTTCCTGGCAGATGTTGAGTCCGCCTGTGGCGGGGGTGAAGGACGTGGCTTCCGCGCTGTGAGGGGCGGCGGTGGAGGCCGCCCACCGCGCAGTGCGTGGGAGGGAGGGAGGGAGAGTTAGTCATTGGAGACCGCGGCTGAGGCCTCGGACGTGCCGCGTGCGCCGTCACAGCTGTGCGGCGAGAGCGTTCACCTTGGCCGCAGGCGCTGCAATTCGCAACCGGGAAGGAAGTGCCGGAAGGAGGAACGCCCTGGCCTAGCGGTTTCGCCTTTCCGAAGCCTTACGACCGCTGCGGCCAATGCGCAGTTTCCACACCGGCACTCGCCCTCATTGTAATAGTTGGAACGCTCTCTCGCTGTTTGCCTGTGGGAAAAGAGAATAAAAAGCTAACAACATCCTTAGAGTGAACTTCCTGAGTGAGTGAGTATATTTAGAGTGAAGGTGTTTGATGAAAACGGGGAAGTAATAAATTAAATTGAAGTGATCCCTGATTGAGTTAGCTATGAAGGTATGTAATGAACGTCCACAAAGTTACAGTAAACTGAATACCTGTTTGGTTCGCTTTTCACTCACTGCCTGTATACAACTATTGCACGTATTGGCTACAAACGAGTATTTTGTTTTAATTTATCGCTTTATTACCTACCTAGTAGAGAGAAAGAATTACAATCGTGGGGCGATTCTTCCACAGAAAATTGCATTTTCGGCTCTGAAATAGAGGAACTAGATAAATGTTGTTCCTATATGTAGTTATTTACGTTTTCTAACCCGTTGTGTAGTCAGAATTCACGTTAATCTTCGTTTATCTTCGTAGATCTTTAAATAAAGTCATGGACAAGTTCTTGAAAAATAGAATTATCGTGTGAAGTTAACGCAATTAATATTTTCTCGAAAACAACTCCCAGTCTCTCTCTCTCTCTCTCTCTCTCTCTCTCTCTCTCTCTCTCTCTCTATCTATCTATCTATCTATCTATCTATCTATCTATCTCTCTATCTATCTCTCTATCTATCTCTCTCTCTCTATCTATCTATCTCTATCTATCTATCTCTCTATATCTCTAATCTCTATCTCTCTCTCTAATCTCTATCTCTCTATATCTCTAATCTCTCTCTCTCTAATCTCTATCTCTCTCTCACACACTCACACACACACACACACACACACAACTCCCTCCCTCTCCCTCTGGTAGGGCAAAGAACACCAAAAATGGGCAGGTCTCATTTTTGTTAAATTCTGAATATTTGAAAATTGCAAAGTTAGAAACAAGGCGAGAAACTGCGTGTTGTTGTAGCGTCTCTAGTTTCGTAATGCATTAGATTCTTTGTATTTCATCTTAAAATAATTTGATTTACTCTTTGATATTTACCACATAATTTTGAATTATATTGTAACTGTTAGGGATTAGAATCACCGCAACATGAATTGTTTATAGTAACTTAAATATATAAGAACCGCCGTAGAAATAACGCAAAAAAGTACGTGCTGTTTTTCCCACTCGTTGTGTGAGTTACCGTAGCCTTCGCCTCTGCATTTGCTCTACTAGCCGCACTCGCCCATGTTCTCGTCGACTCCTCTCATATTGTTTTATTCGCAGTTGCTTTAGTGATCGTTGTCTCTTCCTATCTTCCCCTTCCCACTCGTCCGCCTTCCCTTTTTTCCTTTCACTTTTCTCTTTCCCCTCTCCATACTTTCTCCTTTTCTGCAATAACTCTTCGCTGATTTCTGATTTCATAGCCTAGTATTTTATCTCGTGAATTTTTGCTCATTATTTGTTTTCTTGCAAATAATGCCTTTTACAACGTAGTGTGTCAGAATTTGCTATAACGGTGAGAGGATATTCTAGTGAATTTGTAGCCGTTCGCGTAAGTTCCTCTGCTAGAGACTTCGCGGGTCTAATGGAGCATGGGCAACCTGATTAAAGCGTAGTCCGTTGTTATTAAAGGAATTCTGGCTAAGGATTCAAAATTATTTCGCGGGCCCATCTTTTCAGATTTGTGACCGCCATTATGGCAAAAAGTTGTGAGACGAATCTGCATTTTCATGATCTGGGTGCAACTCTAGTTTATCAGTCTTCCAAGTTGTCGAAGAGTCCCAGTTTTACCCGTATGGATTTGCGATGTCGTGTTCCCACTTTGACGGCATTTTGCTGCACCTTACCAGGTCTGTCCTTTACTCGCCATTGCCCGGGCGGGGGCGCGTGACTACCCGCCTTGTAGATGTTTTCTAAAACAAACTAGAATCGAGTTTCGTTGGTGATAATGGTTTAACCCGTTTGGTGGGAGCCTCTAACACTCGTATTTGGGCGGAGAGGTACGAGTTTTTCCCTTCCTTTAGCCGATGGAAGCACGAGGTAGGAAGAGGAAGAGGGCGAGGGCGCTGGTCGGCTTGCCTTCGGGTTTGGGTGCAAAAAGAGGTCGTCTTCCTGCTGTATGCGGCGTGTGCGCGCGCGGCCAGCTGCAGCGCAGCTGAAGCGCCTTCCGGCGCGCTGTGCTGGGCGGAGCGGGGAGGAGGAGCTTAGCGAGAGCAGTGCGGCGGCGCCTCCGCGCGATGGCGGGTCAATGTCGCCTGCCCCGGAGCCCGTCCGCACTGGCACGCGGCGCAGCGTGGGGGACAATGTGCACTCGGGCGGCGATTCTCGTATTTGAAGGCGATGGGAATTTCGTTTTATGCGAACGAATGGCGGAGGTTGTTATTTTACTTCCTCGTCAGCTTAGTATGTGTAGAGAGAGTACTGTAATGCTGCGAAAAATGTGCGAATAGTTTAGTGGAAATACATTCTCGGGGTCTGTGATTCCAAAAGTTCTTAAACCACCTTAAACAACTAGCACATGACGCCCCGTACATTAAAAAATTCTCTACAATAACGCTCATTTTTTTTCATTATATTTTTTACTCAAATACAGCTTATAGAAATGACGCAAGTTCGAATTCCTTTAAAGCCACTGAATTTGTGAAAATTAATATTTCAAAACTTTTTGTTCTCCTGTCTTGTTCTTGGCTCGACAACCCGATACGGGGCACGGCCGACCAGCGGTGACAAGAGCCTTTTGGCCATGAGATAGGGGTTTGTGTGGTTAGCACGAAGACATCCCTTCACCGTATTTACTTGTCTTCTTAATCTTAGGGTGAGCTTTCTCATCGTCACTCAGCAATAGATACTGGGTCATTTGTAAGGAAATCGCGCAGTTATAATTTGCCTCGATTTTTCTCAGTCTCGAGTCATTATTTGTATCGACTTTTCTGTTCGTTATCATTTGTTTCAGGTCGCATGTTCTACTAAACTTTCCCAATTTTACATTCGAGACGTTTGAAATAAATCAATTTTGCAAAAAACAAACTATAATTGATACTGAAAACGGGTATATTTGCTCCGAAAACGATTTGCATTGCTAATGTTGCAAAGCAGCATTACTTTTCTGCTGGAACCACACTACCTGGATTCGTCGGCAGAAAGAGAAATGTGGTATATTCATTGTTTTCGTTATCAGTTCATAGAAGGCATAAGCATTCGAGTAGATGGTTGAATCATTTCTATGGAACACACAGTGAGACTCAAGGAAAATAATATAACATTAACTCATTTTTGCAAATTTGAAAGTTGGTTTCTTTCTGCAGAATATGGGCAAATTATACCTGACAAAATGATTTCCCATTCATGCACTCCATACTACATCTGTTCAGTTGTTCCTGAGGTCAGCCCCGACAGGCAGGCAGACTCACAGATTTGATGGATTTATTCTGAACGATCTAGAGGCGCAAAATAGCTTAACAGATAGGTTTTGTATATGTAGAAATAGTGATCAGTTCTTTTCTGCGATCCTGATTGTTCCTGCCCTTCCGAAACTCGCGAAAGCACTAAGCTGAACCCGTAGGTACGTGTTTGGCAATCAATCCTGAAATCAATGCTGCCTTTCGGTTGTTTCTTAATTTCAAGAGAGAACGAAGTATCGGTGCGTGCGTGATCCTGGATCTTTCGCCGCGTCGGGCCACGAGCGCGTACGGAGGGGGACAGAGGAAGGGGCAAGAAGCGACCCCCCCCCCTCCGCACCCTCGCCCTCAATGCGCGCGCCACGTGCCCTTGCCAGCAGTATGAAAGATTAAAGGGAAAGATAAGAGAGCGTTGTTTTTTTTAGGGCTCCGACGTTTGGAGTTCTGGTCGATCGCGTGCCCTTGGCGCCCTGCCCAGCGCGCCGCCCACTCTGCCTTCGGGAGAGGACGTTTCTCTGAAGCGGAGGGAGGCTGCGAAAAGCTGCTTTTCTGGGCCTCAGACGGGCAGCAGTTTGATGGTCGGCTTTCGAACTGTCGCGTGTCGCGTATATGGGCTGGTTGTTTTTCTCTCGGAATTCTAAATCTGTTTTCGGAATTGTTCCATTTGTCCTTAGTTTCTTTCGAGCGCGCTCTTGCTTAGAATAGCTACTGATCAATAGTATGGATGCGTTGTTTTGTTTTTCTTTCAATTTTACTTCCTTGTAGACGTCTCCTCCCCTCTATTTTTTTTCTTTCTGATCCCGATGTCTCAGCTTCGGGAGAAAGTCATGTATTGTAATCACTATTTATTCCATTGCGCAGATTAAGGAGTACAGCATGCTCCTAATTGCTAGAAGTCATCGACTTACAAAATCTAATGTAAGAGTATATATACAGAAAGTAGTAATATTATATATACGAGTACTGTCAACTCTGAATTTTCGGAAATTGCAATATTTTCGACTTTTTGGACACCCTCATACATCTACGTACATTATTGAAAATAGAGGTTTTTTCATCAAGTGAAATTTATTCTCCACATTCGGAAGGGCTCAGTAGAATCAGGGACTATCCCACATTTTTTGTGAAATTGAGTTATTAGCATTATACTAAACTTCAAATATTCTTCTTCTAGTGTAATATGTTATTTAAATTCAGTATGGACTTATATGCAAGTGAACTGTGTTGTAAAGTTAAAAAATATATTGAGTTATGTGAGGAAGTTCAGGTAAAACCCTCATTCTCTCTGAACTATGTCTATTCATGCCCTTATTTCTACTGAGCCCTTCAATTAGTTCTTTAATTCATGTAAGTAATTTTTTTGAAAACAATAGTTTCCGCATAATTTTAAGTGAATTTTCGGCAACATTAAAAACTTGATTTTCCTAGAAACTGCTTCAGAGATGTTCTTCAAACTTTTTGTGCGGTTAAGACAAGGTTGTTGCGCCTTGAATTGTGAATTACTTGTATGAAGTGATAGGATTGTGATGAGGGGTGAAGGGACGATCACGACCTGCCTCCCCACGCAGGACTCGTACCTGCAGCCCCGTCGGCACAGACAACCGTCTGTACCACGGGACGGCTCATTATTATTAATATTATTATTATTATTATTATTATTATTATCATCATCATTATTAGATTGGACGCGATCCCTCAATGACGTACGTCAGGAAACAGTATATATTCATACTCGCTGCGCATTGGATCTTTGAAATGTTATACAAGCGCCGATCGAGGTCCTTCTCAAATGCTTGCCATATCTGCTATGTAGCACGGACGACCTTCGGCTCTAATCAGCAAACCTTTGATCGTGGTCCGGCGAGCCGCTCAGCGAAGCGCCCGTCGGGAACGGGCCGCATTTGACCGGCGCGGCGGCGGGCAGAAGGTGCGAGCTCCGACGAAAGTAACGGAGGTGGCTGAGATGGTTACAGGATGATACAGCGCCGGTGGGGTTCGTACGGCGCGAGGTCGAGAATTAGGACGGTGAAACGGTGCGAACCATGATGTTAGCGACGTGCGTGTTAATCTGTCGAAATTTTTGGCAGTAAGAAAACAAAATATGCAAGTACGAGTGCACGGGAGCAACTAGGATTTTTCTGTGGGAAGAGGAAGGGCAAAACGTTTAGAGTCGCGCCAACTTATTGTTTTCTTATACAGCATTTTACATTTATATTGAATTTAAAAGTAATGTTTATCTATTAATTTAGTTATTTGCAACGTGTGTAGTTGAAAAATATGTACGTAGATCGCAATCCAAGCACGGTCGTCTGGGAACGGCGTAAAGTCCAACTCGTTGATGTCCGATTTCATTCAAATCGCTTTAAATACTACTCCCAATACTAATAAGAACAAAGTGTGAAAATTTCAGCGAAATCGGTCGAGATCTTTTTGCGTGTTCAAAATCAATTTATGGGACAGACATACGCAGATTCTCTTTTATTTACATATAAAATAACTAACTGGAACAGTTTGAACAAATAACTAACATGGAACGTTTGGGCACTTTCTAAATCATTGTTTTAAAAGTCAATATAGCCTCATACTGGGGCTCAACGCCGGACTTTTTTAACAATACATGCTACGAAATGGATGTACCCTCCACAAATGTAAAAAACATTTTTAAAAAAACTTCAAAAAGTTAACATTTTGTAGAGTACGGCATAAAACACAACTTCTCTTCAGGGATAGAAAACCTCTGTTTAAAAGGCTTAGAAACATAGTTTTCCAGTTATACTATAGGATGCGTGTATGAACGTCGGTTGTTCCTCAATGTCGATTGTAGACATTGAAGTTCAATGAAAATAGTACTTGCTTACTTCTTTGGGGGCAAAGTTGATAATATCTAGTCTGCTCGTTGTAAAACAGTCAAAATCGTCAATAGTGGATAAGAGCGCTTTTATTGTTTTGAACTTCCGCGGCCTGTCCCACTAAACCTCACTCGCGTAGAAGTGTGTGGGATGACTGCGATTACATACGAGGGCGCCCTCGCCGGCGGAGATGGGAAGCGCGGGCGCTGGCGTACGCGGAAGCGGAGTGGGAGGCGAAGGCTCGCGCGCTCTGCGACCTTCCAGTGCAAGAGGCGGCCGCGGCAGAGCGCTTTGTTCCTGCGCTCCAGGGCCGGAGCCTGTGCGCGTTGGTCGCGAAGGATTCTGCAGACTGGAACGCTTTCTCGCGTAACAATTGGAACTACACCGACAGAAACGCGCTCAGGAAACTTGAAAGTGATAAGCAGGGAACGAACTTCTATGGATAAAAACCAAATAAAATGTGGAAATATATACATACTATGTAGTTATTTTTTTTTAATACGGAGTTAAATATGGACTTCATATGATAAAAAATGACTATGGTAAAATAATATTTTATTGGAAGTTGATAAACCTTCCATTTTTAAATTCTGTATTGTAACTTTATTTTTACACTGAATTTGCTACTTTTGCATTTTACTCTGGTTTAATAGAAAGATTAATGGAACTGTGCCAACACAGTATTCTGGCAGGATTGTAACTGACAATGAGGAGCTGCATACTAAGTTAAATTCTGAGGTCCCAGTCGCTGAGACGTCATACGATTTCCGGGTGGCAGTCCCAGAGCGAAAGAGAGGGGGTAGTGTGGCTACTGAAACGAAGTGAGTTTCCCACAGACCATCGAGGTTTCAGGGTCATCTGTCAAACAAATCCAGAAGTTCATAGTCTCCTCGCGAACCTTCCCCCCCTTCACCTTGCGGGACACTCTGGCCTATGTCAAAAGCCTCCGAGACGAAAGAGTGATCTATTCTTTACAAAAATTAAAACATCCAGAATTTCTTAACTTGCTTTTCCATTGCCCAATTTTACCTATTTTTTTTTTAAAAAAAAAAAAAAAAAGATACCTACAACTAATGTTCAAGGAATTACTGAAAATTTGTAAGCATGAGATGCATTTTAAATATTTAATGAAATTTCACTGTTAAGCTTAATATGCTGTATGTATGGGTTAATTTTATAAGATATGGAATGTATAACAATGAAATTTTATTCAAATATGTTCCAAATAATAAAATATGGAAACATGGAAAGTAAAAATTGCATTTTCAACTGTACACTACACATTGTGAAACACAGAAATAACGCAAATTAGTATAGATATTAGTTTATTTAGTAAACATGTACATATTTACATAGAAATCCGTTCCCTGGTAATATACACTAATTAAAGTGAATTCAACGACTGTAATGGACATCCTTTAGACAAACTTTTGAAAGTGAAATTGGCGGGTTTTTCCATATCCCAATTAATAAGATATTTCGTCATATTTGTAAAAGTGTTTAGTACTAGTTCATCCTTAATTGAGCAAAAAAATTGAAGGGTAATTAATTTAATGTTTGCGTAGTTGCATATAAATTAAATAATTCTTAGTGCTGGCATATTTGGTTTGGTGGTAACCGATTGTGGTGGTGCCAACCCAAGAGAGGTCCATCTCTGGGACGACAGCTGTACCCGGGGATTACTATTCCTGGCTTTACTAATACAATTAGGTCGATATGTGGGAGTTAAACGTAGGCCAACTTCGTTTATGCAACAGTCTGAATGTATTCCAAGGATGCTCCCATATTTTTTAAATTTGTGTCTGTCCAATTTTTATGATTTGGGTTCCTGGATTTGAACATTTGTAACTACGGTAATCAAAACTGAGACATCAAATAGGTTTAATAGTTTCCCTGCCACTTTTCCAGCACGGGGCATCGTAAATCCAGGAGGCGAGGGGTGTGGATTGATACCCGGCATCCGCTTCATCAATTCTCACTCTGCAGGGGCCCTCCCGGTCTTCCCATGCTTAATTTTCCAGAAGGAATCTTCGGACGTGAATCCGTCACTGGGAGTGGGGATCGCAAGGACGGAACTGAATTACTAAGTGCTTTGAAGTTCTTAACTCCGGCATAACAATGTGAGGGGGGTCACCACTTCGGTAAAATTCTACCTTCGTGTTGTAGCGTGCCCGTTTGTTTTGGTCTCTCCTCTTCTTTTGCGGAATAGCGGAAGGCCATTGGCTCGCTCAAACCGCGCCCGCAGGAGCTACTTGCCCGCCTGGGGCTCCTACATGCACGGGCAACTTCCCCTCACTCCGCACCCATTTCCCCTCCAAATACTGAAAGGGTGCACATGTGCAAGCTGAAGCGGCGCGAGGCGGTGAATAGTGGTTTCTTACGAAGATATGTTTGCCAGATTTTGTCTGTCATAAAACTCAGAACTGTATTCATGTTTATATTCTTCACTAATTTTTCTAAGCGTTCGAGATATGTTTGAATGAAGAATTATTTCCTTGTTTTTGTTTTGTGTTGAATTATTAATAATTCAGTTATTTATTGTATTTTTCAAAAATGTGAAATTAAAACAAGTCTCGCTTAGTTAACAGTTCTCGCTTACGGGGGACAGCGCTTTTAATAGATAAGAATAGGTGTGCGTTTTACCTCCTAACCTGAACGTAGAAAGTGAATACTTTTACATTACTCTTAAGTAAACACGATTACAAAATTAAAATACTTGTGGTAATTTTTTTAGAACATTTACTATCAAAAGAGAATTTGAAATCTAACTATTATTTAATTTTAATGGACATTACTTCTCGTAAAGACGGTAAGGGACAGGTAGTGTTCAACCCTTGTTTTACTCTGTCAATTTCTCTGGACGCAGTGTCGGGGCGCTCTAGTAAGCTTGTCACCTTGCCCGCGACCAAGACATGCCTGCACGAGACCCTCGAAATATGCGGGAGTGGTGGTCGTCGTCTCCATCTTGGTGTGAAGACATGCCGCGACAATTATAACGTTGCCCGAGTTTCATCTGTACCCCAGCGCGCACAGTGTGTTTGTTACCCCCGTCTCGTCTCGTTTGGCGGCGCGGGCGAGGTCGGTGGCTAGGCGCGTTCGCCCGCCCAGGCGCGCGCGCACTCCGGCACACCGGCACCCCGCGCGCGCCTGAAATAACGCCCGGCCCGTCGCGACTCGACTCGACTCGGCGCGTGACGCAGTTCGCGCGCCCCGCCAGCCTCCGCGGTCACTGCTCCTCCCGGGCGCCGCGCGCCGGGCGGCCTTCCGCGCGACCTAGGAGGCTCAGGGCTCGAGGTGTCGCTTCCGACTGGGAGGACCGGGCTGATGGATCTGTTAGACTTCCACGGCGGCAGGATTTGCGACACGGGCGAGATAGCTAGCTGGATAGAGGAAAATTCTTGCGGTCGGCTGCTCTCCTACTTGTCCCTGGTGTCGTCGATCACGAGCGAACACGAGCCACGGACAGCGCGCGATCATTCCTTCCTCTGGTCTTATCCTCACCCCCCTACTTCCTAATGCAATATGTTCCAAAAGATCTTTCGAAAAAAGTCCAATCTTAAAAATAGCTGTTTTTAAATCATTGTTTAAAAGTGAAATTCATCCTTCATCCTGGAACTCAGCCTCCAGCGTTTTTGGGAACTCTTACAACGACGTGGCGGACAACGATTAGCTATTGCAATTTATTACACTTCACACGCTATTGGTCACGTCATTTCACGTTGATCACATTTTACCTTACGATCTGCAAAAATGTTAATAAATGAAAGAGTATGAGTTTGTTCTACGCCCTGATTTAGTCATGGTTGTCTGTCTCCCTCAAGTTTGGGCATGCATTCGCTATGACTCAGTCTTAGAGAAATTTGATTTATTTGTCTAATATAACAGTGAAGTAATAATTTCCGCCGATATTTTAAAATCGTAGAAGCAGAACATACAGCGAAGCTGCGCCTAAGGGTGCTGTGAGTTGCGTTCAGGGGCGCGTGAGTCAGCATAAATGCATAAATCAACGCCCCCGTCGTGCGTCTGTGCGACAGACCTAAGCACATTCCCATTCTACTATGCCTATATCCTTCGCGCATAGCAATAATAAACAAGTTGGCAACGTTATATCGCAGTGGGATGGATGGTGCGACAACGCATAAAATACGAACAAACAAGCGTTCATTTTTACTTTCTCGCTACGGAGTAGAGATGACGTAGAATGTCCTTGGACGGGTCGTTTTACGATCGTCATGAGAGACTTCAAAAATATGTATAGTTACATCAAATAATTAAATTTGTTCAAAGAATTGGTGGCCCCGACCAGGACTCGAGCCCGGGCCTTCTGGTTTACGCCCAGCTGCTCTAACCGAGACAACCAATCCTTTGAACAGTTTTCACGAGCGCGATTATCGCTCCTTGTATATATATTATATGTAATTGGTACCATCCCGTCACCTGATGTGTGTGTGATTTTTGAAAAATCAATAAAATGTATCCGAAAGACGTTTTCATCCTACACTGTGCACTTACTAAAGGTTTTAAGAAAAGAATTGGAGCCGTTTCGATAAGATCGTTTTTATAATTGAATCTCTCAAAATTGTGCTAAAACTACTAAGATTTTCAAAAATATGTGTGAGATTAATTAAAAAAATAAATATGAAGAACGAATTTTGTTTAAAAAAATCTCTATCATTAATATTATAGTTGTTGGAAGACATTACTAACATTTCAAAGTGTCGCAATTTTCGAAACTTGTAGAGTTAATAGTGAAAGTCTGACCTATTCCATCTTTATAAGAGTATTTCAATCTATTTTTGCAAGATATTTAAAGAAAAATATGTGGAGCTGTTTTTGAGAAAATTCCGTAAATTACCTAGAGATCAAGTTAAGTAATCCCACAATTTAAGGATTTTTTTTAAATTGCAGTGCTTTGGCCAGTGCAGTTGGATAGGGGATTATTAATTTTGGTAAAATTCCTTCAAATAGTTTAGGCACTAGAATTGTTCACAAATGGAAGAATGGACTTGACCGACAGAAGGATCTGTTCTTTATTTTGGAGGCTTGGTGCTGGACATTCATTATTTATGTATTGTATAATAAATAGTATCAATCAACCAAATATTTTGAGGCACATACGCATTTACATGTAAGAGTGAGTTAAAAGGCATATTTAAATTGCTTTACATGTATTATGTCAAATAAATAAATATAAGTTCAGCAGGAACCCCCAATTACAGGACTATTTACAACTTATGTCCAAAAACATCATGGCATACACAAATATAGAAATAGAATTATAAAGAAAGAACTTTTAGAAAAAATTACAGGACTACATATATGAATGATTTAATGTCAAATTTATATTTGAAGATGTGGATATTTCAGTATGGTATGTTAACAAAGTTTTCTTTCTGTTTCAGAATGGAGATCTTTGCATTTCAATCCTGCATCCCCCTGTGCATGATCCCCAGAGTGGAGAGCTTCCATGTGAGATGTGGAATCCTACTCAGAATGTTCGGTAAATAGCTTTATCAATGTTATTCCACACCTTGGTTGTATCACATTAGTTGTATTAAATTGTAGGGAGGCCCTTAGCATATTTTCTTGTGCATACTATGAAGAATAGTAGCTAATATGTTATATCATGCGGCGGCGATGGTGTAACGGTTAGCGTACTGGACTGTTGTACCCAAGTTGGCGGGTACAACAGTACCTGTACCCGATCGAAGCCGTGGATTTTTAAGGGCGAAAAAATCCTTCGTACGCCTTCCTTCGGAGGGGAAGTAAAGCCGGCTGTCCCATGTTCGTAGATTTACTTGCATGTAAAAGATCCTCAAGCCTAAATGACGCCTCTGAGCTAAATTCAAATTGCCTGTTTCTCGTCCAAGAAATACCTCCTTTTTCTCCTAGTTGGTGAAAGGAGCGTAGCGAAATTTGCGTGGTCAGACGGAAGAGCGGGCCTGATGGCCCGAGTCTCGCCACGTAAAATAAGGCAAATTCATTTCAATTCAATTCAATATCATTAGATGGGTAAAGTAGGACCTGGTAAATGAAGTATTTTTCTTTTATATAATGCATGCGTTTTATATTGCTTTCACCTTCCACTGCTGGGACCCCAAATTCCCAAATTGAATACCTGACCAATGTATTTGTGGAAGACAAAGCATGCTGTTGGTGGTTTTTCTCAAGTTTCATTAATAATCATCAATCATCAGAGCCTATAAGTTCAGGCATTTATTTTTATCTAAAATAGGCAGGAAAAAAGGCATTAATTAAAGGGGGGGGCATGAACAATGCATTTTTTTTAGCTAAAGGGGGTGATGCAAAAGGCATGTAAACAATGAAAATTCTTATTTAAAAGTAATTATTGTAAAAAATTAATAATTAAAATTACTCACATTTTTATTCTAACTATTACCTCTGAACAAGTAAGGAAACAATCTATTCTTGGCAATCTCCATTTCACATGACCGTATGGAATGATGGCAACGAATTTGTTTTATTTGCAATGCTCTCGCTTTGAAATGATTTTGTGGACGCCCTTCTGAAACTTGAAATGTCAATACTGAAAACAGAACTATGTGTTTTGTTCTTTGCACTTGTGTAATCGCCGGCACTGAGAACAATATATCATACCTTAGAGCTGTCCTCAGAAAGGATCTGAGGCCATACTTACTCAAAGTAGGATGGGATTGCTCACGAGTGAACAAAGTCTATCGGCATCAATGAAAAATCAAAAATCATGACTGGTATCCTCTTCCTTTTTTGTTTAGATTTTTAACAATTCTTCTGCTTTCACAGCAGGAAAAAATATGATCGTGCCTTCATGTTGTCCATACTTGTAGGCATATTTCCACTCGTTCAAGGTCAGTGAGACTTGCACAATCAAGTGATTCCTGTTGTCAAAAGTCATGTAATAGTATCCATAACAAAAAAGGCATTTTGCCCTAACTTCCAGACTCTAATCATGCCCTTCATGATGAAATTGACTTACTGTCACGAAATCATAGTGTACAATTATTTGAATAACTACTGTCCCCTTGAAGCTCAAGAAAACTTGAATAGATAATGAATTACTACATTAATATTACAATTTTTGATATTTCAAATCTTGTTGGAGTTAAAGTGCATTTTTTGAGCTTGAAAAGTGCAAAATTGTTCATTCCAAGAAAATGAGTTTGTCATTTTAAACCATGTTACTCATGGACTTCTATCAGAAAGCTGCAAGAAAATATTTCCAAGATTTTTGCAATATAGATTTTTTTTTTTCTTCAGTAGATAGAAATGGTGCATGGATTTTTTTGTACATAAAACTTCTTATATTTATTGTATACTTCAATTTTATACTGCTGTGCTCCATTTACATTTTTTTTCTGGAAAAAGGAAATTTATTTAAAATGCTATCTGAGAATGCTATGATATCAGGATCAGAAACCCTCCTTTTTTTGATATCTGAGTGAAATTTGTATATGTATTGGATTAAAAATAATGTTTTTTTTTAATTTTCTATTTGTTTCAGAACCATTTTGCTGTCTGTAATTTCACTTCTTAACGAACCTAATACTTTCAGTCCTGCCAATGTGGATGCATCAGTTATGTTTAGACGTTGGAGAGATTCCAAGGGAAAAGATAAGGAGTATGAAAATATAATCAGGTATTGAAAGAATAGAATAAGTAGTGTTTGTTATTTATATTTTGAAAGAACTGAGTAACTTTTTAATATCTATGAAGTCTGCACATATTAATCCGCCCTCCTTAAATACAGAGTTCATTTTTGGTAGGCTAACTTACAGCAAAAGAAACTAACACAATCAGTGAGTATTCTGCAAGATGCTAAGTGTGTTATAAAATATTCATTTGAATGATTTTTCTTTTCATAACATTTTGATCAGTTCTATTCAGGATTATTGATCTTGTTTCTTTCGACTTATCTAACTCAAGATTTTGTTGTTGTTGTACAGGAAACAGGTTTCTGCTGCTCGCTTGGAAGCTGAGAAAGATGGTGTTGTTGTTCCCCTCACATTGGAAGATTATTGCATCAAGACCAAGGTGAAGCCTCCAGAGCACAACGTGGATATGACGGACTTCTATGATGATGATTATGATTTAGATGATGACGACGATGATGATAATGAAGGTGAAGGTGCAGAATCCGGAGATGGTGAATATGAAGATGGGGATGATAGTGGAAATGGTGAATCGTGATAAGAATGTTGTGACAGCACCAACACACAGACATTAGCACAAGTGGATGAAATGACTCATCATCCTGTGAATAAAGTTCATTTTCAAGGGGAGGGGTTGTCACATTCATTATTTTCATCGTTTTTTCCCCCACTGGTTAGTTATGTGTTGAGTGATTTTACAGTGGATATTGTGCGGTTTAAGCTCTTGATTCTTAACAGCAAGTTTAAGGAGTGCAGCTATGTTCTTTTCTGTATGGTTTCTAGAACTGAAAAATGTATGGTTTGCCCATTTATGTGGATCAGTCTGATTGTATTTTTCAAAACAATTGGTGTTTTGAAATATTACACAATGATATGGTGTGACAAGAAGTAATAAAAAATATGCTTTTAGAGCTGTGTTACTATGATATATTTCTGTAAACAGTGTCTTTACAGATGTCATGTAATATACCAAGGAGAAAATGTGGTGTAGCATTTAGGTTTTATTATGCGTATTGTGCACATGTATTGTCATTTCAATGACCAACATCTTTGCGGATATTACTGAAGTAGTGTCATATATTGGTATTACAGTTTCTCCTGCATTGTGTGTAATGTAAGAATGCCATACAAGTGTCTGCTTTATCTACCAGATCACCCTCACTGATTTAGGCTCCTTCAGTGAAAATTCAGTTCAGTGGCGTTGTAAATTCTTGCAAAATATCCTGGCTCCAATGCAGTGTGTATTGATATGATTGGATAAATACTATCTTTACAAATACATTAAGGTTAAGGAATTTAAGATAATGTGCACCTTCTCACTTCCTTATGTCCTTATTTGTATCTGTAACTGTAGTGTATCTGTTGGCAACTGTGAAGCATGAAAAAAATAGTAAAACTGTATTGTGATCTTGTTTTACTTTAATAATAAAAATATCTAAACTCTGTTAAGTTTTTTTATCATTCACACAGTCCAAAAATGTGCCAGTCGTTTTACAGCTGAGTTGTTTGCTGTAAATGAAGGGTTTTTGTGATTTTTTTGTATTTAAAATATCATGCATGTGTCAACAGATATGTTAAACTAATTACACAAATAAAATTGAAACAAAAATTGAGAGTTTATCTCAGAAATTATTGGAACAGGCTACATGTTTCATAAATGATTAAAGTCAATGAAGTTTGAGAATAAATGTATTATGACCTAATTAGTCATAAGCAAATAATTTCCTAAACAAAACATACTATATGTATGCTCAAATTGTTGAAAAATTATATTAGTTGTGTTTATGTCCAAGTAGGAAACCTCTTCATTTCATCAAAACCTTACCTAATTTAAATTGTTGTGGAAGGAATATAATTAGTAATTTTATGTGATTGTATCTGGGGTGAACCTTTGTATATGGGATTAGCTTATTTCTTAACTGTAATTTCTCGGGGTGTAATTTGTAAAAATATTCAATTTTCAAAGAAAAAATGCTGTACTTCAAGTATTCAAAATTTTTAATTTTAGTTTCTCTTTCAAAACAATAATACTGTGAAGAAAGATCATGAGTGAATTTTTCAGAAATAAACATTGAACAATTATTTTTGTAAGAATTATCTAATCATATGAATGAATTTCACAACTTAGCCTAACGAAGAAAGCAAAAGTTGACAAAATAATCTATTTTGTATATGTTAACATTTTCAAAAGGATTAATTGATATGATGGCTATGGAAAGTGTTAAGTTGAGGTCGTTAAAAACAGTGAGAGTTAGCTTTTTCTAATGATACTGCAATTCCTAGCTGATTCGGAGCAAAGCAATATTTATGATACTGTAAGAATGGTAGTTATGCACAAAGATGAAATGTTTCTCAAAATACTTTCCCATCTACTGATGTACTTTATACTTAGTTTAAAGTAAATTTACTGATTTTTGTTGATTGATTTCTTTGTAAGTAAATAGTTTGATGCAATAATGGTTGGAAAAGGCATTTCAAAGAGTACTTGTTGATTACAGAAGTGTAGAATTTGGACTGTGAGAAGAGGCCGAGGAGAGGAACTATTTTTTCTGGGAGGTTGGAGAATGGGAGGTTTACAAGCTTGAACATTGCTTTTCTTGACAAATTGTTAATGGCAAAGTTTACAATTTAAACTTTTTGTTTCCATGATTGTACATTTTTGCAAATTGTATGTATAAATATATAAACTTATTGTGATAATTTAGGTGAATTATTTCAGTAGATATATTATTACCTAAATTCTTTCATAAGGTGAAAATTGCCTTATTCAAATCAATTATTTAATATGGGTGAAAAAATATTTACAGAAATTCATCGGTAACAGTATCATATTTTCAAGAACAATTGTAAATTAAACAAGTCATTGATCAGTATATGAGGTAATCATTAAGCAGTAGTTGAAACGTGACCTTCAGCAATATTTTGTTTTAAGACACAGGTTGTGAAATGTGAAGTATGAATCTCTTGCTGACTTAATCTAACTTTTAATTCAATATTTCATTGTAGATGCAGAACACTAAGAAACACATTCATCTTTACATAAGTTGACTGACAAGATAAATATTAAGTATATGTATGCGTACAATTGGGCTCTAGTGTGTTACAAGTTGGCTCCAGATGTTTTATCACTGGTTACATAGTTTAAACAATAAATTTTAATAAAATTAAGAGAATGAGCACTTATCTGCCATCATTTGTTCTTCAAGTTATTTTCAAGACCAACTATGATAAAATACAAGAATATCCTTACACAAAGAGAAGGCAAAGCAAGTGTTTTAAGTTCAAAGACTGGCTATTTTTAATTGGGAAAGATCAGTGAGGGGATATAAATGTATGGAAAGTCTGGCTGTCTGACACATGTGTCCCACTACAGAAAATGTTCTGTGATTATAATTATAAGTGATGCATTACATTTTTTTAAAGTGAAGGTGGTTAGCAAGATATCCTACAACTGTCCTCTTCAACACATGTACAGATTTAGGTAAATAAACATTTCAATTACATTTTCAGAAACGTTTTAACATTGTAGTCACAAAGAATAGTGATTGAATTGTTCCAGAATTTGCAAATGCTCCTCATTTGATCAGTTTAGGAAAATAAGATCATGATACAATATTTTTGGGGTATTCATTTGTTCCATTCTCTGCGTATGAACTACTTTTCAATTGTATTAAAACTTCTGTACTGTTTAAATAAAGTCATTTTTTAGTTTAATATAGGGACTAAAGTACTAATAAATGTATTTGCAAATTTTAGAGCTCATCATATTTTTTAATGTTTTTAAGCTATTGTTTATGTGAATTAATTTGTTTTTAATTTAATTTCAGTTTATCTTAAAAATGCAGGGTGTTCTAAAATTGTGTAATTTTCACAAATATCAATTTTGTGGTTTAGCTTTTCTTCAGATTTTTTGTGTGCAGTTTATTGCTCCTTGATTTAGATCAGTAATTCTGTTTTATCGTTTTAAAATGACACAATGGAGAAAAAAGATAAAGTGTAAGAGAACATAGGAAACGGTAACATGTATTAATGTCGAACATGCCTTTCATGGCAGAGAGGTGGTGTGCATAAGGCATTAGATTTTAGTTTATTGCTGGAGTTTTCATTCTGATTCATAGGTTAATAACTATTTAGTAATCTGCCTTCCCTGCCACTTTTCAGAACACATTAAACAATTAGAAAAGTAATTATGAAATTGAATTTATAGAATTCCTTAATTATGTTCTTTCTGACACTACATTGAAACACATTTACCTTTTTTGTCTCCCTCCTCCTACATTGAACACATCTCTTTGTCACAAATGTGATGTATGGTCTTTTCTCTTGGTTTTGTTCATGGACCGCTGTGAGCATTCCACAAATACAGAGTTGCTGATGTGAAATTACACAATGAAATTATTATATTGCACCCAGGTATTCAATCATAAACTAAATGTATTCTACAATGTTCACTGCATGTTTCATTTAATTTTATTTTCCTTACAGTAAAAGAGAATAACATGTATAAAACGTAAAAAAATATTGACACTTCATAAACGTTAAAAATAGTTTGAATTCAGCTTTCTGAGAGAGAATACCGTACTTAAGTATCTTAGAACTTCATAATAAATCTGCAAGTGTGAGATTAATGAAAAATGTGGTGACAGTATAATGCTTTGTGAATATTTATCTATGTATGTGGACATGATATTTAATATCTGATATTATTTTGAATTCAAAGACCTATTTTCTTTCAAATTATTTATTTTTCTAGAAAACATCCATTTTATTATAAAACTGTGTTTTTAAAATTAGGTAAAATTGTTGTTTGCATTAACATAGTTTAAAAAAATATGCCAGGAGTGGTTGCAAATGTCAATTTTCTAAAAAAGGAATTACCATTTTTGTTATAAGAACAGTAATTGTAAGTTTCCTGTGCAATGTTCTAACTATTGGCATGAAAGTCTGTTAAATCCTTCACTGCTTTGTAAACTGAGCAACACAGAACAGATCAACGAAACTCTGAAGACATCTCAAACAAGAGAATCAAATGTCTGCAGGATTTGGAAATCTATGAGTGAAGAAACTTCATATGTAAAAGCATTATTAAAACTGAATTCAAGGGAACAGGAATACGTAGTATAATGTGATGTATAAATATACCACTTGGAAGTTATAAATCTTTTGTTCTAAAAAATGGAAAAAGTGATATGAACTACAAAACACACCATTAATTTAATACTTGTGTTTGATATTTTATAGTAAAGCCCTGCTTTTACATTCCTGGAATTTATGTTTATTTATTTATTTATATCAAAATTATTTAACTCACTTATGCGTTTTCTCTGCATTCCTTCAATTCCTTTATGTTCACAATGTTTAAAACACTTGCATACTATCAAAATTAAAATTTCCCGTCTTAACACTTTTTCTTGTAACTGTGCGAACAGAAAGGATAGGTTGGCTGAAGATCTAATATGTTTGTACCCACTTGAAGTACTTGACTATTTGTGATAAGGGAAGTTAGAATCACTTCATATTGTTCCGGGAGTGCCCAGGGTAACGGTTATCGCAACAATAATTTCTCCTCCTTTCAAAAGATAAATAAATTTTCCTTTTTTCTTCAAGTTCAATCTACTTTTGAAAGAAGGAGAAATTATTGGTATAATGTGGGTTGTATACATTTTCGAAATTTTTTATTTATTGCCAATATACCACCAGTATAAGGTGACTAGATAAATGTGTATGTCACAAGATTCCTATTTTTCATCAGCAATGTAAGTGTTAAGTTACAGAATAGCACTTTCAAGGATGCACTAATAAAATGTCAACTCATAAACGAATATCCTTTAAAACAGTCTATTTTTGTTTCTTTTGATATGATTATATTGTTGAAGCAATCACAGGTCAGTGAATACCATTATTTCCATTACATTCCCCTTTTCTCGTGCAAGATTAGTAAGTATTTTCATATTACTACTTTTTACTTTGATATTTGATAGAGTAATGTGTTCATTTCTTGTGTAACCTTAATAAAAAATTGTTTTAGTATCCATTTGATTATAAAACGGGGTCAATAAGATTATTTTTGATTAGAAAAAAATAAAATTAGTGTTTTTTGAAGTGCCAGGCCAAAGATGCCCAATAATTTCTGATTAAAAGTGCATTATTATCAAAACAAATAATTAATGTTCTATTGTTATTTGTTGTAAAAATAAAAGCAATTTCTCACAATTTACACATCTCACAACTTGCACTTTTTTTTTATTTTTTGACATAACAACTTCACCTTTTTTTTTAAAGGAAAAACATACCCATGAGTAAATGACTCAATAAAGAGAAAAACATATTACAAACATAATGAGGAAAATGGCCAATATTCTTCTCATACCTTTCATGTAATATTTGGAAACCCAATTTTAATTTTGATTTTGAATTTTACTATAAGATTTTCTCAACAAAGCAAAAATAATACTAAGTCCTTCACAGTCTTGAGACAGAAGGCATTCAAGGGAAAATTAGATCAAAATGCAAAAAGCCTAAATTAATAGCCATAAGAAATGGAATTGGGGACATCTTAAAATGTTTTACACACATGTAGATGAAACAATTTTATAAATACTGCAAACTTTGAATGGTGCATTTAAGTTTTTACTATTTGGTTAAATTAATTATGAGATGATTATTCAATTAAATTAAAATTATTTAAAGATTCTTTGTCATATCACAGTTTAGTTACATCTATTAAAAAAGTGAGTAAAATGTTCGTGTTTAGAAATTTCACATTGAAAAAGAGTAATAAATCTATGCTTTACATACTTATCTTTCGGACCTCATCAGTGTGCAGTGAAATAATACTACAAAACTGATTTCCATCTGTTTAGTATAGTAAAAACAGCTTTAGTATATTGTTTAAGTATTGGGAGGTCACAATATTTAAATTGGTGTTGGAGGTTGTCTTGGTAACTATTTGAGATGAGGCACTAATACATTATGAATGATTAAGAATCTGGATGCATGGTATAATATACTTTAAAGAAAATATGTATATTTTAGCTACATCTAAATTAGTTGAAGCAAATGAAACAATGTTTCATTCGGTTATAGATGATGTCAGACCTAGGATGTGTGAAAATATTAAAAACCTACTTTACTTGGAAAAGAGCTTTATCTAGTTATTGTTTATCAAAGCTGAACGTACACTTCAAATTTCATTCAGCAATAGTTTTTGGCAACAAGGCAACAAGGCAACAATACTTGAAAAGTGTGATCTTAAATAATAAGGGTTTCTTTAGAAGGCATTATCAAATTGAAGTGAAAATTTAATGGGACCTTCAGAATGTTATTTACATTCAAAATAAAAAAAAATGGTCAAAGTCAGTTTTAACGGTAATGGAATCAAGTGTGCAACACACATGCAAGCTTGATTATGTGTTAAGAACTATTTTGTTTTGTTGAAAAATTCTGTGGTTGCAGCAGAGGTATTGTGGTAATCGCTAATGACTTAAGAATGCAAGGAATATTAACCACAAAGTTTCTTATAATATATTTAATATTATAAATAATTAATCAAACATGATATGTTTTGGGAATCTTACCCTGTCTTCAGTGGCACTACAGAGAAGAAAAGTATGGAATAAAATATATGAATGAAGCCAACATAGGTATACAAATAGAAATAGATAAAATATGAAATATAGAAAAATTGTCAAAACTGACATCCTTAACGGTGGGAACTTATTTTCATGCAATCCTGATGTTTATATTTACAACACACGTCGTAGTAATTACATTTAAGTGTTAGTATCAATGGCTCACTACAAGATATCCACATACAATACATGTACATTACTTTACAATGCATTGCCAGATGGCATTAAACAATTAATGCCCGCACACAAATTTAAGCTAAAAGTAAAATCTTTTCTGCTGCATAACTGTTCTTATACAATTAGAGACTATACTAAACATTAAAAAAAAAAAAAATTATAAAAAAACAGTGATTTATAATGCATTAATTTACATTTGTATTGTATAATTAAAAAAAAACAACTTAATGTGCCAGTAACAAGTAATGTACTTCAGCTTCCAGGTCAATGACCCCCATCTTGATCAGGTTTTTATTGTTTCCCTGATCCATTGAGCAAATACTGAGATGGCCCCTTGTTTTGCTTCTTGACATAAATGTAACTTCACTATGTGCATGTTTTATTGAACTCCTTTTGCTTGTAATGCTGGTAGAGCTGGGGGTAAATTCCTATTTTGTTGGCAATACAGAGGAATCAAATCTGAAGTTTGTTTGCCAATACAACTAAGTTTTCTATAACTCGGAACGAAAATGTCTAGTTTCTACAAATATTGCTAATCTCATGCTTTTCTTCAATGTTGTTGTTGTTATTATTATTATTATTATTTTATTAACTTTTATTCATTTTTCAATTATTTATAGTACAAATGTTGGGAAGAGGTTCTGCAACTCAAGAAAACATTCACAGTTGGTTTTCTGCCCCATACATCACATACAGTTTCTACTGTTTCTTCACTAAATAAATTAAAAATTAAAATTAAATATAAAAATTGAACAATTTAAAATCTGTGTAAATTGGATGCTTACCCAAATATCATGAATTTCCTCAGGATTAATTGTATATTTTGATATACATGAAATTGTTTTCTTATTTATGAAAAAATGTTAACATACATAAAAAAGCTAGCAACATATTGGTGTATCAAGAATACATAATGTAAATATCCTCCACAAAGGTTTCATATTTCAATCTGATTCTTTACTTGGGGGCCATTCATAAATTATGTAACACAAATTTGGAGTATTTTGAATACCCCTTCTCCCTCCGTAACACGCACATGAACCTCCTCCTTATAAATACGTAAAGCTTGCAACCAGCCGCTCCCTTCCATGATAGAATCAATATGTAATTGATGAAAAATATTTTCATTTATTTTAACAATTTATTGAACATAACTTCATTAATTTATTATATTTTTAATTTGTTAATATCCTTATGTTTTAGTTTAAGACTAAATAAGAGGATTTTTTTTAGCAAATGTTGAAAGGTTTTGAGAATAAATATCAGAATTATGTAGCACTAAACTACGACCCCCTATCCCTATGTAACGCAGCGTACCGCTGCCTGAAACCCCCTCCCCTCTCTTCAGCGTTACATATTTTTTTGGACGACCCCTTTTACCTTTTTTTTCTTCATTATATTTATTTTATAGACTTTTATGATTTCTATCTGCCTCTTTTAACTTTCTTGGATGAAAGTCGGTATTAATCTTTTTATTTCCTCACACTTAGTAAGAGAAAGTTTTGTAATTGTGCGCCGGGAAAATGCGAGTTTTCGGCTGAAAACCCCTTATTACCGGGCCCTAGTAACGAAAAACTTTGTTTTACGACTCCGAAATAGGCCCTCATTTTCTAGGACGAATTTCCCTGACTTCTCTAGGTTATCCAGGTAATTTCTTTTAGTTTTCCATTACGAAATTTGTATTTCAGGTATTTAAATAAAATATTAAATAAAGCAAGGCTTTGCTCGATATAAAAACTCAGTAATCAACTGAACCTTTTTCTCTTTCACATTCCAGATTTTCGGGCACCCAGTGGCGAATTTACACATGGGGCATCTCTGAGCACTACTTCTGTGCCGCCCTTTGTTTTTCTTTTTAATGAAGACAAAGTTACAATAATTTTAAAGTACTTATTAAATTAAGAAATATATACGACTTTTTATAATAAATTAAAAAAATACACAAAATAAACTAAAATTTCTGCGTCTTGATGATTGGACAGCGAATTGGTCGATCACATCATTGCAGTTTATTGATTTTAAAATATAGAATTCCAACGTAAGCGCATTTAATCGATCTTCGGTCATTTTTGATCTGAGGTAGTTTTTCACTTGTTTCTAACATGAAAAAGATATTTCAGCGCTGTAATTATCATTGGCCAAACTATTATCCCGTAAACAATATCAACATCGGAATACACCATATGCAAGTTATTTCCACGAAGAAACTTCAATTCCATTGGAGACAAATTCTCAATATTTTTCTCAACACAATGTGCTTGAAAGTGTAACATTTCATTTCCCCATAGGCCTTCTAAATCCGTTTCACAGGTGTCTCAAAGTCTCAGGACATAAGAATCGTCTAGTTAAGAAGTGTGTCAGTCGTGTCTAGAATAAATGAGATAAGGCTTCCTGCTAGAAGTTAGTAGTGTGGTTGGACTTGGACATGGAATAAATTGGAACGTGGATATTGTAAATGTGTGTC